CTGTGACTTGATCACCGCAGCATAGCGCAGCAGCGGCCACGCATTAGCCGCATCAGTGAGTATTGGCTTGGCACCAGTATCTACTTCAACATCACGGGGATTTATACGTGAAAGCAATGGCCGCTCCGTGGTTGGTAGGAGCTGCACGGAGTTCTAAAACTTCGTTGCTGTCGTTCATGCATCTGACCGCCTGCAGCTTCAAGTTGAGGTATAAAGGCGTCGGTTGAAAGGTCTTGAAAGCAGCAACTTCACTTCTCTCTTCTACTCGGTGCTGGTCATCGAGCTTATTATATCCCCCAGTCGAACTGGTTCATCAAGCCTAATACAAAAATGAAGGCCACCCACTCTCTCATATTTATTTCTTCGATCCTCCTCGCTTCTGGCATGCCCCTTGGGCAGGCAACGGAGTCGCTTCTCGTCACCCCCGAGATAGTGGGCTCTGCCTCCGAATCCGCCACACTTGTGGACGCCGTACAACCTTCGCAGTCAGACACCGCATACACTTCCAGCCTGGGACCCACGGGATCAGACGCAACTACCCTGAATGCTCTGGCTATCGACAACACGACGGGGACTCTGGTTGGATACGACTCAACCGGGAAATATCTTGGGGAAATTACGCCCGCTGCGAAAGGCTCCATAGCGAACGGTGCGGTCGCGAGCGCTGCGTCGGCACCGGGTGAAACCTGCAGGGATGCCACTTCGGAAGAAATCTCTTCTAGTAAGTGAAAGTCCAATGGCCCCGGGTCGCACTTTTAAACATGATCTATCTAGTCCCTGGATGGGGCAAGTTCATGGCGTATGCCACATCCCAGGGTGGGGGACAAACACCACAGAAAGAATGGGTGAATTCTGAAGATGTCAGTGAATGTGGCTGCTCGATCTGGCTACTATTAATCGCACAATCTAGCGGCACGATGTGTGGGCATATATTTGCTACTCTACAGCGCGGGTTCAGCTTAGTGCTGACGGTAAGTATGCGTTCACCCTTCGTGAGACCAAGTTCACATATCATGTCAAGGTGACCCGGTGTGCAATACGCATACCTCCGACGCTTTGGGGACTGTTCAAGGCATCGGCGGAAACTTGTCGCAGAAGACTACCGTAAGGATGTCATTTCCGGGACATGCAGAACTTACACAGAAGCCTAGGTCACCATGGGTGAAACACTCTCGTACACATCAGTAACCGAAGGTCCGTGTACTGTCATCGTGCTGTCCGTTCACAGCACTGACGTCCACGGTCAATCATAGACACATCATCCTTCGCATGGACTGGCTCAATGAGTGTGGAGGCAGATGTCCCCGGGCTCGCCAAGGCCACAGCGGAAACATCAATAACCCTCTCACTCGAGAACAAAATAGGATCCCAGTAGGTTGCCTCAAAATAGTCGCGACTCCCAGATGAATGCTTTTTTCAGGGTACAAGACCAGAAAGATATGACCAGCACGCATGAGGACGAGTGGGAAGTTGCGGTTGGCACTTCCTGTAAAGTTACGGTGTGTGCTGCGCCCGAGTGTAAGAGGCGGATACTGATCCCCGAGCAACAGCAAGAACTCACCGACTGTACTTCAAAGGCCAATGGACGTGTCGATGTCTATCTTAAGGGGTGGATTTGGGCTAGTTACCACGCATCCGTGAGTGCAGGGGATTTCTCATTGGCGATGCTGGTTACTGAGTCACCCACGTAGTGGCGGGATCAAGGCTGCATCCAGTCGTTGACGGCTCCGGGCGCACCTTGCGCTGGCGTAAGATCGGCACATAACGATCTGAACCACTGTTTCGACAATAATAAATGCTACGCGCATAGCAACTGTGAGTTCTATGGCTTATAATCCTGCAGCGAAACACTCACTCGATCGCAGGGGCATTCACCATCGAATCCGTACTCCCAGACATGGCGGACAGGTCCCACCCGATGCAATTCTCCAATTCATTCAGCTCGCAGAGCCGGTCTGATGTCACTAAGGATTGCCAGGCAGCTCCCGCAAAGTAATTTAGTAGATTCCAACATTTGTCTTTCGTAAATCATACTGTCAACACCGATGTGCTTTAATTACGCATGGATAGTACAGAGAAATGCTTACATGAACATCGTTCTTTCAGAGGCGCTGGTGAACGTGACAGTGAACGATTGTTCTGGTACCGAATTCACGAAGCCGGAAGAGAAACCCAAAAGTGTGATGACGGAGAGGTTTAATCAAAACAAGACCTATCTTTTATACATATGCTGTGGTACCGGCTATTCGACCAGGGTTAGTAGGCGACGGATTCGTTGGTGAACACTGAACAATCAGATAATAAATGCAAAAGCTACTTGGCGTGCAAGTTCATCCGAGTCCGAGTTCCAGATAAACACAGTGCCAAGCATTGGATCATCAGTACCCGAGCGTGCAGCCGTGGCGCCGATGGTCTGCCGAGTTGTTCTTTGCAGGAACCTAAATGGGCCATTGACGCACCGCACGGAACTGGTGCCGAGCTCTCCAGCCTGGCAGATACTAAGTATAGTCGCGTGGGTAAGATCCAGGATCCACGGAGGCGCATAGTAAATGCTAACGTACAGGAGATTGTGAGAGCCGGCCGCATAATGCGAATGCAAAATTTTGGAGGTGCGCGCCCGACGCGCGCATCCCTGCGCCTCCCCTCGACCATACCGCCCGCCACCACACATCTGCCATTGCGCTCTCCACCCACCCGCTCACGCGCGACACGCGACGCATTGCGCTGGCGCACCCTGCGATGCACTACACCACCCGCACCCCGAGTGTCGTAGGGAATAGTTGCCAGGCGTTCAAGCCGGGCTAACGCCGTGCAGGGAGGAAGACGCCCGCCCCGTTCGCGCGCGCCGAACATAGATGTAGAGCCGGCTTCCTGCGCCTGCGCCTCCCTTCGCTCATACTGCCCACACCACCCGTGCTCTGTGCGACCACTCCACCCACGCATCCAACGTCGCGATTGAGGCATTGCCAATGCCTACACCCCGCGTCGTGATCGAGGAATAGCGGGCTCGAGCGCGACGCAGGGTGCGCGCGCGCAAGAAACCAAACCGGGCTGGGCCATAGCCGCAGGCGAGCGAGACGAAAGCGAGAGACGAAGAGCGATGGTCGGGCGTGACAGCGCGTCGGGGAGGAGCATGACGCAGTAGATGTGTATGCATAACGAGACCCCTGCGCGCGCTCGCCGCAATGGCGAAAGTGGGACGCTGAGCCCAGTAGGTGAGACCACGACATTGCAAAGGCGGCCGTCTGATCCATTGTGATGCGCGGAGTGGAGAGGGCGGTCCATGCGCGTTACGCTCCTGCGGGTGCATGGCGTCTTCGACTCCGACTCCGCCCAGCGCGCGCGGGGGCGTTCCGTCCACATCATCGGAGGTATGGGAGGCTGCAGGTCGACGGAGCGCGTTGGTGCAGTACGTGCAAGCCAGGCGCGGGGTATAGGCGAGTCGGGGCCGAGATTGCACGCCCCAAGGCGGATGCGCAGGGTGTTGCAGAGGATGCGCTAGGTCATGAAGACGCCGGCTTTATAGTAATGGTATCGGTACGTCGCGCGCGACGTACGTTCTCCTCGTGCGACTCAGCCCGTCCTACATCTGCGCGTGGAGCATCGCCGCGGATGAGCCCCGTGGGAAGCGTTTCACGCTGGATGATGGGAGAAGGGCGCCCGTGTCTTCGTCTTCGTTCGGCGAGGGAGCGCGCATATCTCACCAGGAACGGCATCCGCGATGGGTACAGGCTGCTCCGCGAGTGTGAGGGCACTGCGCGTCAACGGGGAGGGCTCGAAGATGGAGAGCGTCGTGAACCCGTTGCCTGGGGAACGGCCGCGGTAGAGGCATAGCGGGTGCTTTATCGTCATTGTGAGTGATGGACGCAAGACGCGGGATACTGGGCTCCTCAGGCGCGGAGTCGTCTTGCGAAGCGGAGGGCGTACGTGTGAGTAACGACAGTACGTGGGTGGAGTCGCAGGGAGCGCGGTACGGCCCGTCGAGTCCGTCGGCGTCATCCAGGTGGTACGCGAGGGCGAGCGGGGCTGCGAGGAGTCGAGACGTACGGTGCAGAGATGCGTGATTGGACGTCGTCACATCCCTGCGGATCGGGCCATGCTGAATCGTATGCCATCGCGGGTGGGTGTCGGGGTCTTGCGACGGTGTCAGTTGGGCGGTAGTTCTAATCGGATCGGGAGTTAGCATTCGGCGGCGCATGAGGGGAACAGATGGAGACGGTGTAAATGGAAGAGGAAGGGAGGGGCGCGATGTATGGGGTGGGAAAGGAAGGACAGCGTGGCAGCGAGAGGTAGGGAGAGGGATGGATGACAATCATGAGTAGGACCATTGGGCGCAATCCCAAGCCAAACAGAGTGCCATATTCGCAGCAGGCGGAGCGCAGTCCTCAGCGGCGATCCGAGAGACAGGCCCGAACTTAGTCGAGAGAGAACTATAAGTACACCGGAGCACAGTGAGCTTAGAACACAGTGGCGGCTTGCGGCAAAAATTGGGTCACGCACCGTGACGTGTTGATCGCCAGCCCGGGCCAGGCGATTCATCGCTTGGGCCGGCGCTTGAAATATTCGGCAAGAAGGCTACTGGGTATATAAAATCAGGTTCCAAAAAAGTAGCCGGGATTTCGGGGAGTAGTGAAGGATATTATATGAAATAAAAACTCGGCATTCCCAAGCCCTCGGGAGGATTCGAACCTCCATCTGCCACTGGACTGGTCATTCAACACTCACAGAAGCGGAGTGGCTGATTTACCTTTAATCAACGAGGGTGTTATATCTCTGCAATGGACCCCGATGTTGCTTCAGCCGGATCTGCGAGGAAAGGTTCAAGCAGTGCGGAATTCCCTGCAGTGTTCCTCCCGGCGAATTGATCCTCCATTCATGTGGAACCGCGAAGGGAATTGGGATGTGCGCAGATATGTTTTTCAAAGATCAACAGATGTCCACCAACTCGTGGAGTTCAGTGGTTCCCTATAGGAAGATAAAAAAAATGGATCGCCGAGTCTTGCCCTCGGGAGGATTCGAACCTCCATTTCCCACTGGACTCAGATGCTCTCAGAAATCTCCTATCTCTAATGAGGGATTTACCACTAATCAACGAGGGCTTCATTTCTCTTCACTGGACCTTGATACAGTCCCATATAGAGCTCCGAAAAAAAATGTCTGTAAATTCCACACCCACGGAAAAATTATGTATCTCGTTCGACACTCGTGAGTCTACATTCACCCCTGACCATTGGATTTTGTGGCCAGATATTGGTTTTAAAAATCAACAATCGTGACTCTCACCGCTTCCACGTAGGACAAAAAAAAAAGATCCCACTAGTAGCCTATGCCCTCGGGAGGATTCGCACTCCATCGCCCACTGGAGTCTGTTTTCAAGACTTCGAGATCTCTGGCGGGTGATCTATCATTTAATCAACATGGGCTTCATACCTTTTTAATGAACCTTGATATTTGCTTCAGCTGGATCTGCGAAAAAAAATGCCCCTCAGTCTGGAACACCCTGCACTCCATCTTTTAGATCTACAGTATATTAGGAAGAAAACAGATGTATGTCTTTGGACCAGCTACATGCCCCCGGGAGGATTCGAGCCTCCATCTCCCACCGGCTCAGCCATTATTTCTACACTACAATTGGTGCCTCGTAACCCCTGATTAATCCCTTAAATTTTGAAAGAATGCCAGCGCTGGGACCTTTCTTCTTAGTACCTTATAATAATATGTAAACAGCGTCCAGAACACATTCCCAGTGAGATTCAGAACTCAGGAAACATCTCCGAAACCGTTAGACGGCCGTGCCGCTTGTAGGCCCTACCATCCTTATATTGAAAACCGCGTTTAAATCGGGTCCGGTAAAAGTGACGCGGACTGACACGGCAGTGACGCACATTGACGCGGCATTGACGCGGCACAAACGTGGCACGGACGCGGTGTGGCTGTGTCATTGACGCAAATCGACGTGCTGCCTTTAAAGCTATAACAACTACTCCCTGTAAGCTGGGACAAGTTCCCAAAACGTTTTCTAGTGCCAATGCATCATTTGGACGAAGAAAACTGCTCCCTATTTTTTAGTCAGTTGACGCTAAGTAAATATTCACCCAAGAACTGAATATTGCAATATAGTCAGTACTGCAGGTCAGGTTGTAGAGTTCAAGTTCTCTATTATCAGAGACTGAGCCCAACTAATTCTAAACATGGTCAGCACCCCAGATTGGAGAGAACTCTTCTCCCTCACATTTTAGGTGGAACTTTGGGTGGAATTGCCATGGAGGACTGGAAGCGGAAGTGGAAGTGCCATTAGTTGCTGCATCGTCAGTAACCATAGCCTATTCGCAACAATTTGTGTCTAGATAGTAGACACAAAGTGCTGTTTAAACCCGTGTTTAACCTACGCCAAACTTGAACGGTTGTTTAAAGTTTAAACGGTGTTTAAATCAACAAAAGAAAAGAAAATTGCGACTCATGTGAACGGACCACAGACATTAAAACCCACTGGCCCAGGGTTCTTTACATACATATTCCAATTTAGGATACACTTCTTTCCCTTCCCTGCTGAAGTATCTCATATGGCAAGAAAAAAATGTTGGATTACCCAGCGACATATCAACATCTCTCAATGAAATCCATGAAAGAATCCTCGACTATTGGATTAAAGAGGTGCTCAAACCGCTCTGCAGCACTTGTATCGGAGCCTGTGTCCAATCAGTTTGAGTATTCATTCCCCCGAAAGATGAGTTGAGTCCAGGACATGTTCCTCCATCTCAATACATGAACCTAGACTGGTGGTTTGCATTATTTTTCGAGCTCATAGACGGAATAGGACACAAGGCTCCAGCCATATTTATATCTTTGAGGGAGACCTGCAGTCAAATACATATCTGGGATGTGTATCCTTTTGAATATCCAATGCCCACAATTGAATTGGAGTCACTGGAAATGAAATCGGCCTGTCTGCTTGGGTTTGTAGGAGCCATGCTGAAAGCAGGCTCCAATAATTCTAAGCTAAGTAATACCTTGAAGGTATCATAGATCCGAAGTGATTCCTTCAAGGCTTCGACGGAATGCAAGCTAGTTCATTAGAGAGAATTCAACTTTGAAGTTGAACTCACCTCGTGAGCACATAATGCAATTCAACCCAACGGTACAATCGAGTTTTTTTAGAATGCGTAGAAGAACTTTGAGCTGAGCCATTGGTTATGTAGCTTGGCAGGTCAAGATAGCCTTGAGGGAATTTGAGGGAATTCGACTTCGAAATAAGTCGCAGTTGGGCTCGGTGAATAGCGCAACAGCACTCTATACCACTCGCTGAACGGTTATATTAGAGATTCATGTCGAAGGTTAGAGACTACCAGTTCGGCATTGGAGCTTAACCCAACTGTAGGTAAGTCAGAAAATATTGAAGCAGAAGTACGGTGAAATTGGGCTTACGGATTAAAGATCTAATACTTCCACAAGCCCCTATCCCACTAGGTAATACCGAGGTGAGACTCTTGATGTAAGTAAATTGGAAGGACTTGAGGTCCAACAACTACCTCTAAAATGTTTTGGTTAAAGAGAACTAACTGTTCGAAGGGTTTAACCTAAATTAAGGTCATTGATTTAAGCGTGTTCTGAGTTTAAACATGTGCCTTTAAATTCTAGGTACATATTCGGAATCAAGGTGCTGCTTGCACGGTGAGCCCTCTCACTGCGTTCAGCGGTCCCTTAGAACTGGATCGTGTCTAGGTGCCTAGACGGCCAATTGTGTCTAGCCAACCAGACACAGTGTTTCTAGGTGGCTAGGCAGTTGTAGCCACCTCCTCAGCCACCTCTCGACTCGCCCTCGACAAGCGGACATAGACCTGTCTCAGATGATCTCGGTTGATGCCGGGTCTAGGCGGCCTCGACTTGACAGGTCTAGGTAAATAGGCGTACATAAACGTCATCTAGACCGATCTAGACCCGTCTCACAGGTTCTACACTTTTACGGGTTTAGGGACCCGCTGAACGCAGTGTCTGTGCTCACCAACATCTATCTTGTCCTGCAGTACATATGAGTCGGAATTTTGTTCTCAGATTGCCAGGCTATATTTTGGTTTGTACATACCGTTCAATGTTGCAGTGTTTAAGGTGTGCTTGTGGAAAGGATGGTGTAGACCCCCCAAAAAAGTGAGTATCACACAGATATCTCTATGAACACCGATTCACTGTCGTTATTTGGCATCCCTCAGCCTGGAGGCAGATATAGAATATTACACAGGAAATAAAATGAAAAGAAAGTGTGTGTACCTTGACATGAGATCCTGGCTTGCGAACACCAGCCTTGCGGTCTCAGGTGCGTGTGAACATTCGTCTAGAAATTCTGCAGCGACTAGCATTCACCGCATCAGATACATACATTCCTCCAAGGTTCAAGGTCCGTGGTTAAAGGGGAGGGATCATCAATATTTTTGAGAGTGTTTAAGAGCGGATCAAGAAACTGATTAATCCAATATTCTGTCTGAAATTCGTCATGGGAGGCTGATATTCAACATTGTGTTCCATCAATGGACCATCAATTTTTTTTTTGTGGTGTCTGCCAATTGCTCTGCGGCGAAGAGAATGGGTATTCCAAATTGAAATACAACGGTGGCCCATGCAGTTACAGTATTAATGAAAAGAACCTGTCGCTGGCTGTTTGTACGACATTGATTCAGTTCTCTTCAGTGTGAAGGACTGATTCCAGCCAAACTTTAGGATGCAGGGAATGCCGCATCAATTGTGCAGCCACGGTGTTTCAATGCTTTGTGTCGTGCTTCTTTCACCCAGCAAGGGGAACATTTCAGATGCCGCAGCATTGATGTGAAGAACCGCAACAGTGACGCGGCATGAGCGCGCACCTGAGAGAGGGTCAAAGGGTTCCCAAAGCATCATTTCCATGTGCAAAATGTAGGAACCGAGCACACACTGAGGACTGGTAACTATTTGGACATGGCCTATGAAGAACTTCACTCTTTTCACCATAAAAGACTTGTGAAATTCAATGGATTATTCCAAGGATGAGATATAATTCATTTTCAAGATAAATGGGACTGTAATAGGTCTTTAGAAATCGTTTTTGCTCGGTTCTAGATGGGTTCAGTCATGCCGCGCCGGTGCCGCGTCAATGTGCATCAGTGCCGCGTCACTGCCAGTCTGCGCGTCAGCCGTGTCAAAATATCCTGACCCGTTTAAATTGAATGGTTCAAATATAGGAAGTCGACTCTTTCTGCCCAGAACTGCAGGAGTACAGTGAATTATATTAGTGCATTGGCATTGATACAGCTCTTGTATTCCTTCTTTATTTCGATTAAAAATGACACATGTGACGCGGACTGGAACGAGTTAAGATTAGTTGATGACTATGCCAGCGGGGGCGGGGGCCTGGGTCTTGGCGCCGGGGTCTGTCACACCGAACTGGGAAGCGCATCCGCCGCACGGGGAGGGCTGCACCGCGTCCTCGTCGTTAGTACCAATATTGAACTATTAACCATGGAGAACTTACAAAGGCGGCGGCCCCCTTCGCGGCTGCGGCAAGACACGCGGCATTGAACGGGGTGTCTGAAGGAAGAAGTAGTTAGTTAGTATGTATTAATTCCGCGAGGGGCATTGATGCGCACTGGCTCCTAGCTGTGCGACAGCCGGTGCGCACAGAGGGAACGAGGGCTCGAGGGCGACGATACAAGCTGAGAATTATATGAATTACACGAAGAGGTAGAGCACAGCGAGAGGGACGTACCGTTGATATCGCACGCGCTAGCGCGGGGGCCTACAGCGGCCAGAGAACCAGCCCCAGGAGCCTGATTGTTGGTTGCAACAGGATTAGCGCCTCTCGCAGGAGCGCCATTTGCATTTGGGCGGTTCCCATTTCCCTGAGCGTTGTTGGCGGGGTCGGGGACGCCGAACTGTGGGCGGGGACCTACAGCGGCAGGAGAACCAGGGCCAGGAAACTGATTGTTGGTGGTAACAGGGTTAACGCCGTTCGGAGGAGCGCCATTTGCATTTGGGAGGTTCCTATTTCCCTGCGCGTTGTTGGCGGGGTCGGGGACGCCGAAATGCGCGCGGGGACCTATAGCGTCCGGAGAACCAGGGCCAGGAGCCTGAT